CTGCAATTTTTAAAAAAATATAAAAAGAAAGAGAAAGTTCAGGTTTTATTTTATTAAATGTTCAAAATAGGCACCATGGTTATTTAAACAAAGTTCCATCCTTTCTAATAGTTTGTTAGAAGCTTTTTTTTAATTCTTCTCCTGGAATATTTTTTATTATCTTGGAAACCGCACGAACCAATGATTTTTCATTTGGTTGATCAGTTAAATTTCGTTTGATGTAATCATTTAGCCAATAATCACACGGTGCAAGGTCAGATGAATATGGTGGATACGGCATTATATTGATACCTTCTTCTGTTGAATAATCAATAATATCGGAATGACGATGAGGTCGAGCATTGTCGTGAAGCAATTTTATACCTTTTGTACCATTTGACTTTCTTTGTTTCCATATTTCTTTGATAACAGGCTTGAGGCAATTCTCTATATAATAGTTGTGATCTATAGTCTTGCCTTCATCAACAGCATGTATAAGGAAGAGAACCATTTGATTTAAAGAATATACAAAATAAATTTCTTGATTCAAATTTACTTCGACGAACAATAGTTGTCAGTGATTCACCTTCACCAATCCAGCTCGCATTCGTTAACTTGTGACCAATCTGCCTATAATAAATCCATACCTCGTCACCTGTAGTAATATCACATAACCGCTAGGAACCAACACGAAGTTTTGCTAAATTTGCATGACAAAGTTTAACTCGTTCTTGCTTCTGTTCATCAATCAGTTCATGAGGCACTCAACGTGATGTAACTTTTTTCATCTTAAGACAATCGTGGATAATTCGTTCTATTGTACCATGAGAGAGAGATGTCTCAGCTATGATATCATCATAAGTTGAATGTGGCTCATTGTTGATAACCTCTCATACTAGTTCAATATTTTCATCTGTAAGTTAGGAAACCAGATGACCAGATCAGGAACATCATTGACATCTTCTCTTCCTTCACGGAAACGCCTTGCCCACCTTATAGCTATTGCATATGATGGAGTATTGGGTCCCTAAACTGTTGCAAGTTCTTCATGAATTATCTTTGGATCTATTTCCAAAATAGTCCGAATTTTTATACAGTATCGATAAAATTCATTATCCATTAAAAAAAATTTTTTTTAGGTAGAATTAAAGTGTAGGGTGTGGCTGTGGGTATGGGCGTAGGCAGATAAATGATGAAAACCCACATTGAAATCCATACCCACATCCGACACCTACACCGACATCCACCCACGCCCACACCCCACCCTAGTTTTGTTTTGCATTTAGCTTTGATTTTATCATTGCGAAATATTGTATTTTGAATCTTTAAAGATTTTTTATTTTAGTACAAACTAAATTACTCGTATTAGACGATGAAATAGCTTAAAGAATATTCCAGATAAGTGTAAAACTATTAAAATGATTGTGTAGTCTGCGGAATGATAGTTCTCAGATAGATTAAGTTTTGCATGGACATAAATTATAATAATTACTTTTATTTAATTTTAATCGATATGTACGTCTACAGAACGATAAATACCTATTGTAGGTAAGCATTTTTCTTTTCTCAAGAAAATTGAATTTTCTGTTAGGTCTTTAACAAAATTCTTAAACACTAAAATATCTATGAAAATTTAACAGTTTTTATTATGATGTCATTATTCAAAAGCGAAACGGATGCCATAATCACAATCAATGTGAAAGATTGTATCGGGACTGACATATTTTTATAAAATTATTTTTATAAGAAAAGTCGTTGGTACAACCTGGGAAAAGATCTTTTTTCTTAGAATTTATTTGTGGCATTTATTATTTTTGAGTTTAGTTTTATGTAAAAAATCTATTTTATCGAAATGTATCATTCAGAGAATCATTTTTCACGTTGATTGTAAATATAAAATTGAATGTGTTGTTCAGTTGCACGAGGATAATACAAAACTGCAACATCGTATACAGACAAAAATCGAACAGTTTTTCAAAGATTTACCAGAATTATCTGAGAAAAAGACACAAATCTATCCAAATTTCATATTTATTTATATTCTTACATATGTAAAACAGTTATTGCACAGTAAAAGCAACCACTCAACCCTTTCTATAAAGAGTTAATGAATGCCTTTCGAAAATACTTCCATTCAGACGAAGAAATCTTTTAAAAGTCATGCTCTTTTATACAATGTTCATCTAATTCTTCTATCTTTTGATTTCAGTAATTTGTTTTTTATTTCTACAAGAAAAATATTTCTAAGATTTCAAATAATTTATTTCAAAATGATAAAATTAAAGATGTATATAAGAAAATAGTAATAAGTCAGCAATATTCTCTAAAAAAATGATGCTATTTTAACGTCACAATCTTAAAATAATATATTTGAGTTTTTTCGTAACAATCTATGTAAATATATTAAAAAGAATTTCATGGATAATTCGACATTGACAGAAAATTCTCTGTTCAAATTCTGACTTTCTGATACCTTAAACTTTCTTAGCTACGAATGGAACAAACTTTTAGTTCACCATTTCTTTCATGGTGAAATATAAAACTATGCATCGTGATAAATGGAACCTATTTTCATGTGTAAACACTGTTTGTAACATGAGTAACGTTATCCTTCGATTCTTCAAATTATTTCCATACTAACAGTCAGACTTCAAAATACTGAATTTTTGCTTTCTAAAATTTGCTTTATTTCACTATCGACGACTTGTTTCTTTAGAATCTTGTAATATAATATTTTCAGAGGGAAAAAAATAACAAAGACCATCAACTGCTATAATTCGAAAAAAAAAGAAAGTCGAAGAAATATGAAAACATTGTAAAATGTTTTTTACTAAGAAATAATGCAATCATGTTTATTTTGATTCTAATGACTAACACAATAATTCATCAAAGTTCTTCTGTTCGACTTTGATTTTTCTATAGAAACTGCTCTTTCGTTTTTAATCTACTTAAGATTAATTTTTTTAACTTGTTTAATTTAAACGTAATCAAAATTTGACAAGGAACATAATTTTGATTGATTATCTGTAGGAGTCGCAGAAAAAAAATGCTAAAATAGATACTAGCTATATAGTTGAATTTAATGATAATATTTGAGTCTAATATCAAATAGATTCAAGATATCCCTACCAACATATTCTACATCAAATTTTGGAATGATAAATAGTCATCTTAAAAAGTGAAGTTTGTTACGAAACAATTTTTATAATTGAATTTAGCGGCTGTAAGAAGAGCAAATCTAAAGTTCATCGAAATTCAGTGTCAAATGTGAAAACACTGAATGATGTAGTATAAAAGAAGTGAAAGACAAGGTTTTATTGTTGTATCATTAATTAAGACTTCAATTTAATGCTATAAATAAAAGAAAACTTATCTATTCTACACATTACATTTATCAACGATATCTATTTACACAGTTTGAAATTAATCGTTTAGTCAATACTAAGAAAAACTTCAACAGAACACTAGTTGATTGGAATATATTAATCAACTTAATTTTTATGCGCTTTCAAATTACTGATTATTCCTTTTTAAATGGTGAAAATAGTAGTTCACTGTATTTCTAGTTATTTTTTAATCGTGCGAGAAATAATTATGTATGTTACTTCTTACGAGGCGATATGCAATACCGTCGAGTATCATGTTTGTATAAGTAGTACTGAATGGAAAAACGAAATACTTGGCTTTTGTTTATTCAATACTCTAGTGTTTGAACTGTGAGTTGAATCTGGTATTTATTGGTACACGTCAGAATATGTAAATTTGAAGTAAAATACTCGTATTCACACTTACATTAAATATTCATGTAGTTTCTCTCATGTTTCTTCAGATGATATGAAAGGGTGATGTGTATTTATCGTGAAAAAATCGAAGTTAAATACATTTATCTTTGACAGTATATGACTATCACCGGAAATCACAATAAGTTTTATTTTTTGAGCTAGTGTCGATGTATAAAGGTAAATATTTAGAAAAGCGTATGTATTTATTTTTGAAACTTACCCACTTAGAAATTGATCAGATATTCCGCAAAAACGTGTATATCATACATAGATTAGTTAAATTACACCGTCATAAAACGGAAGGTATATTTGTAATGTTTCTTGTTTTTTCCGCAACATATTGTTCTATAGTATTGTTTTGTAGTTTAATCGATTGTCTATGCGTTATGTTTTATCACTCGGTTGTTATTCTTTACATTACTTATCTTTTTTCTCAATTAGTTTTGCATTATTAATTATTGCGATCTGTTGCCTATTGCTTCATCTGGCTGTGTTTAAATTATCTTCTTTCATCTATTAGTATTTTCTTTTGTTTTTCGTCCTTCATCATCGTTTTATATACATGTATATGTATAAATACTATTTATGTCATAGAGTAAAGCAGCATTAATTGATTAGATATTAAATTCCAAAAATTTCGGATTGAATTCTATGTCTTTACCGATCAGGTTTTTTCAATTCACTGCTGAACTTTTCATGATTAGCTATATTTTGAATATTCTTAGTTTCTAATTCCTTTCTCGAAAAAAAGACTAGACATAAATTCAATATTCTGAATAGAAAACAACAAAATTGAAAAGTCACTGACACTTGACTCAGTTTTAATACAATTGTGGTTGAATTTCTTTCTTTTTTTCACTTTCACATGTCCTTTTCATATTCGTTTAATCTATTTGTCGGACAGCAATACTTGATACTTATAATTTTGTATCACTCTCGTACCAACGGTATCAGAATTACAAGGAAGATATAAATATTAAAACTAAATGAGAATATATCTATTGAGTACAACGTTCATTCATAATAGAATGAATTCGATTCTTACTTCTCGCTTCTATTTTAGAAGGTTCAATAAAAATTTACGAAAAGATGAAATATCCAATTAATCAATTATTTTAAAGCAATTTTCTCTAGCCTACAACATATATCTCACTCTAATATACGATAAAAAATTGCAATCAAGAAATCTAATATGACGTACGTAGAAATTCGCTTGATTTAGGTCGTTGTGAGAAATTTTCTAATGAGCGTTGCATTGACAGAAATATAACACATGATAAAATATCGAGAAAAAGCAATAGTGAAAAAGAGGGAAAGAAAAAAGACGAAGAGTAAAAAGAATTGCTAAGAATAACACAATTTCTGATTGTTGACATAATCATGTAATTGCTATTAATACAGGTTTCTCTGTCATATATTTATCCTTGAAGGTCGTGCATAAGAGAGTTGACAAGATCAGAAATAATAAGAAAATAAGAAAAAGTAAGCTATTTCTTAAAAAAACTCTAGACAATGAAATATTAGTCATTCAGATATTATCAGAGTTTGTGCTTGTAGATCTTTTTTTTTTCATCCAAACTTTTAATTTTTAATAACACACTATGCACACATCCTGCTCATGTTTTATAATGACCATTTAGCTACTTTCGTACGCCTACTTTTCTGTATTGATACACTTTAGATTGAATTAGTCGATTCGATTACGTATTCCCTGCATCGATATAATTCATGAACGAGATGAATATTCTCTTCACTTATTTAGAAAGAACCTCAATTTCTGATTTTTTTCTGAAATTTTTTTGTGTAGACAGGATTCTTTCAGTACACTGGGAAAGTGTCAAAGCGATCTTGCTCGAAGACTTTCACAACACGGGTTATTCTCTCTTATTCTGTTTCTCTTCTCATTTAGCCTCTTTCATGCATAGCCTAGAGAGAAAAAAAGGAAAAATTAAGTATAGTAATAGTAATAACATATATGCGCACACAATTGCTTGTTGTTGTTTTTCTCAAGAATGAATTTTCTTGTTTTGTTTATTTTTCTTTCTGTCAATAATGCTTTTCTCATCGGTGTCAAATAACATTCTATTTGAAGTCTGGAATTTTTAATTAAAGGACTAAAATAATTGATATTTTGTCATGGTCACAGCTGGTCTCTTGAATTTAGTTTTTCCTTGGAAAAGAGTGTATGTGTTATATACGAAAAAGTAATATTACACTTTGATGTGCTACTTATTAGCAAACATAAGGAAAAAAAATATTAAGTAAATGAATTTTTTTAAAAGTATGTTTGGAATCAAGTTGATAGATTTACTAATATTTTGAAAAACGATTAAATATTATAACTGTGTTTTAAAGATTTAATTTTTGACAAAAAAATACAGAAATCAAAATGTTTTCAAATATTCTATTGAAGATTTATTTTGTTCTAATCAAGTACATTTGAATTTACAGAGAACACTGCCACTTCATAATGTATACAAGGATTCAAGTTTAAACTTTATCATAAATTTTCCGGGTAATGTGAAAATTAGTAACGCAGATCGGTAAATTTTTTGAAGTAGATGATAGAGATCGTTATTGTAGGAATACAAATCGCAACGCCCTAATAGAAAGTACCTATTTAGTCTCTTGAGAAAAGAAAACACCCTACAGAAATAATTGCATTATGTTTTAACCATTTGGGGACCGATTTTTTTTTCTCACTGAATTCAGTTCCTCTGCATATGCATTCAAATTTCGTCAAAAACTTCAAGCTCGTCAAGTTGATCTAAGTTATCGACTAGTTCATCGTAATCGAGAGTGAAGTCACTCTCACCGTTGTGGGTGCAAGTGTACGTGTGGGTGGCGTCAGAGTCTTCCATTCATACCCAAAAGAACTAGCTACTTAAAACAATTAATGTCCATTCTCAAGATAATATGTGGCTAAATTATTTTAGACATTAGCGATAATAGGTGTTGTTTTTTCAATTATTGTTGTGTAAAGCATATCAATTATGGTAGTAGAACTTGATGAAAACGCGTTAAAGTCTTCAAATATTCTCACGAGTTTTCATAGATATTTTGCTACAGTGTTCTTCCCATAAAATTCTTCTTCAACTTTAAATTACTATCTCGAAAGGATAGTATAATGAAAAAATTTTCGATTGAAATTGATTGAAATTTCAAAATTCTGATAGATAGCATGATATCTGCATTGAAACTATTTATGCTTCTCGTCGTTGCCTTCAGTTTTCAATCTACATCAGCTCGGCCATTACAATTCGTGATAAACAATAAAATATTTGATCTATTTTCGCGTTCTTCATTCTTTCATATTAATAGATCCCATGTGCAAGAAATTAATACTGGTTGATTTACGTGAATTTTTTTCGAAAATATCAAGAATTATAGAACACACTGTTGAGCTTATTGAATTATCGATTAGTACTATTTTTCACAAAGCAATGAAGATTCCTTCTTTGGATCTTCCAAATCAAACAGATATTTTCAACAGATATACCACTAAAAACTCTTAGCTGACAAATCTGAACGTGCTAAACAATAATCAGATTGTGGTTGTGTGGATATTGTTAATTGTGAATTTATGTAAAAATTAAAACTATTTGATATAAGCTATGCATCAAATCAAAAAATAATGTGGTCAAAAAGCCAATGACCAATTAAAAATGCTTCGTGAAAAGAAAATTCCTTCAGATGTATCATCTTATACACAAACATAATTATATTCAACCAGCTATAGGTCGCTTGTTTTTTTTTCTTCAATAGAAAATTATTCAATTGACTATATGATATGAAATCAATTGGAAGCAACAGGAAAAGCTTTTGCTACAATTTGAAAACACTATTACGAATGATCAGAAATCACAATCAATGTTCATGTTTACTTGCCGAACTATTTAAATGATACTAATAAGACCAATTTTTTATGTTACTGAGTAGAATCATACCATAAATAGAAAAATATAGGTTTCCTATGACGATTGTGTCCGATGTATCCTTTCGTTTTGTTACGTATGTAAAAGAAGTAATATTTTTTTTTAAATTTCTCTATGTTCATCAACACCTTTTAGAATATTTTTATTTTTGTTATCAAGAAAAAGCAAATAAACAAATGATTATTTCGTATTTCTATCGGTTAAAGTTTTTCATATATCTTTGTCTCAATCGTCTTTTAGAAAAATACAGTTTATATTTCGTTTCGATGCAGTCATTTTCACCAACGAAGATCTATCTTGAAAAAAATATGGAAAGTTTTTAACTTGAAGATTTTTTAATTTTGGCAAATAATTTAATATGAATAGAAGAACATCCGTTTCATTAATACAGCATCGAAGTTGTTCGACATTTGAAAATATTTTACAAAATTTGTTTACGTGGCCAGAATTAATGCATTTATTATCACGACCTTCAAAGATATTCATGAATTCATTATGATCATCATAGTGAGTTATGTCTAATATTTTAATCATTTTATTTAAATACCAACATAATTGATTATTGGTGAAACATGATATTAATGCAGGCTTTTCAATAACTAATGATGATAATTTTGGTGTTTGCCTTAATATTTCTAATAATATTGTTGGTGAAATAGCATTAGATATCGATTTTAAATCTAAATGTTCAATATTAGTTAAATTAATAATTATGTTAAGAAATTGTAAACGTTTTGCTTCTTTTTTTTTTGATTGTAGATTATAGTCAAGAAATCTTTCAAATAAATCTCGTTCATTCATTAATGTTAATAATTTAACATTTTGGAAATAATAATCAGATTTATTATTTATCATTTTTATAAATAAATATAATTCTGTAACATAATCAAATGTCTTTGAATTGTTCATCGTTGAAATACTGAATCTTTTCATATCCGATTTTAAATTATAGAAATTCCACACATAAGGTATAGTATAGATAAATGCTGTCATGGAACATAATTCATAATTGGTATACCATTGATGTTGTCTATGCCAAAAATCAGTTTGAAATTGTTGAAATTTCTTTAAAATATCATTATAAGCATAATCAATCCAAACAATAAATCTGAAGTTGAAAATATTTAAATGATGTAATGAAGATTCAATTAAATTTTGCCAATGTTCGGCATCAATTATATCTAATGCATATTTAACAGTTATTGTTAAGATTTTTAAATTTGGTGTTCGTTTTAATAATAATTTAAAGATATCAAAATTAGCTTCAGAATAGTTGATAACTAATTTTTTTAAATAAATAACATAAAAATCAATAATATCTAATTCATTGTTAATAAATGAAGACTTTTTAAATACTTTAATATATAAATATTTCACCATAGGTACATATTTAAATAATTGACATAGATCTTCTAAAATGCAATGATGAATTGTTAATGATGTTATTGTCATTGTTTTATGACTAGTTGATGAATTAAAATTTAGATTTAATATTGATGTTAATTGTATTTTCGATGGTGATAAATGAAATAATATTTCACAAGTTTGTGTCATCAAATCATTGAAAAAATCAGATAATAAAAGTAATATTGATTTCATTTGTTCGAAATTATTATGATTGAGATCAATTAATGTTAATGAACGAAGTTGACAAAATTCATTGAATGAAAAAAATGAAAGAAATACATTAAGTTGACCAGATGTGTTTTTATTCGATAGTTTTAAAGAAATAATTTGATTTTTTATTTCGGAATTTAATAACATTTTATGACAAAATTTATCAAATAATAATTTATTCATATAATTAAGATTTAAGTGTAATAAAATATTTCGAATAAGTGTATGAAAACGATAATTTAACCGATCAAATGAATAAAATATATCAAATGCACTAAGATATTCGAAACATTCAATAAATATTTCATTTGGTAATAGATCAAACTTCATTTTATTATGAATTTTATTTAGCACAATGAGAAGTTTTCATTTGTGAATAATACATATTGACTTTTATACTCTATAGAATAGAAAAATACCCAAATATTTTTTTTTTTTGTTAGATTTGTGATAATTCATATTATAGATGACGCATTAAACTATAAGAGAAGGATGGAAGCAAGATATATTTATTTGTTTCTTTCATTTTATTTATTTAAAAGGAGAAAGAATGAAAAATATTCTGTCACTGCAACTTTTGACATTTATTTGGTAATCTAATGAGAAAAATAAATATTTTGGTTAGGTTTTCGTATTTTTATTATATAAGCAAAATTTCAGATTGTCATCTAAAACATTTTTTTCATTTGAATTAATAAAAACAAATTATTTGGTCGTTTATTAATGAAGACATTCGCTGCGATTGGACCCACTGATGGGTCACACTATATCTTAAGAAGAAACTGTATAAAAAAAACACTTTCTTTTGCATTTTTCTTAGGCAGGAAGTTACACATAAAGTGTCATCTACTGGGCCTTCGCTATTCTTTTCACTAAGTTATTGCATGCACAGCGTGACGCTTTTCGTTAAAACAATCACAACAAAAAAATTTGTCACAATCAGAACAGAAAGTTTTTATTTTGTTTGCTGCCGCATGACTTGTTTCTCTTGATTGTTGTTGCCTGATTTTCTCGTAGTAGCCAGCCCAACATCTTCGGATATCGTGAACAGATCCGTCCTTTTCATCGAGCTTGTAATGAGCGAGTTTGCGCTTCGTTTGGCGTGTTGACTCTTGTCTTCAACCAGATTTCAGCTTCTCGACTGGCCTGCCAAGCAGTAAAGATCACACAAGATATTCACAAAACTACAGAATGGTCACTTCGCTCTATGTGATGTTACAAACAGAAAGAAGAAAATAACAGACCAGCACAGAATGAAAAAGGCAAAAAAGTGCCTTTGTCGAAAGACGAATGAACACGATAGTAAATCTGTGGAGCTATTCTCTAATAAAATCGAAACACATCGAATGTGTTAAAGTAAATAAGTTAGATAAGAAATACATGATTTTCATTGGTAGCACATCTGTGTCCAGTATGTACACTTAATACAATAACAATAATTATATTAGTCTTATTTTCTCGTCATTGTAAAGAGAAAAGAATGTTAGGGATGAGGATGTGAAGAAAAAGGAAAATTTCTGCATTCTCGATTTCGATTATACGACATTAACAAATACATGTTTTATATTTCGTGTTTTTCTCTTACAAAGATGTTCTTCGATGGTTATTTCGATGCGTTGAAAGCAATGTCAGAAGTCAAGTCAAATGCTTAATTCTAATAAGTTAAAACCATTAAAATATATTGAAGGTTGTGAAAAAGATAGAAGTTTTGTTGATGAAATGTATCATTTATGAGTGTTCAGAACTCGTTGTACCATTGAGTCATTTTTGTCATTCTGTTATTACAATAGCATCACCACCGAGGAAAATACAAAATAAGGAAAGCATTTAAAAATCATTTCAACTCGCGAATATTTGTTAAATGCAATTAAAATATATAAATTAGCATTCGTCGCTACAAGATAAATAAAATTATCCTGCTCACATCTTTATAATAACTCTTTGTTACTGACATTATTTGATTGACGTACTTGTCGGTTTTTTCTTTTTTTTTTCTCGTACTTTACGCATATATCCCTTTGTGTTTCCTTGTTGCTTTCGTTCCCGACATCGACATACATGTTCTCTATTTAGTTTTACAAGATGCTAATGACACATCAACAAAACTTTTGTAATCATATCAGTTAGTAATGAACTGATAATAACTTTTGTTTCTTCTTTATTATTACAACTATCATTTACATTATTCATTATAATTTATTCTCACAGAAAACAACTAATATAAATAATCTGATAAATGTATAATGAACAATTGTACCTAGCCAAACAAACATAGCAACCATTTATTATGTCGTGCCTACCTTTAATACCGAGTTGTCTGTAAGAGAGAGAGCCACAAAACCTCAACTTAAAACTTACACTCATATTTTTATATGTGAGATCCACAAAATAGCATAAATAAGCGCAAATAAGCAAGAATAATAGGTACAGAAAAAGAATAATTCGTTTATGCGCTCAATCGATCTTTATTTAGATTTTCTATCTAGTTTATCCACATTTTTAACTCTTACATTGCGAGAATTATATCGCAACATACATCGTAACAGCTTTTAGCTTAGATTACTTCAGTCGTTTCTGTTCATTACGGTTTATGTTCTTAGAAAAGTCGTTTAGCATTCATCCATGTTTCTCATTAGCGAATCTAGGTGTATTAGAGAGTATTTTGATAGAAAATATTGTTGAATCATCATCACTGTGATCATTGTTTCAACGGAAAAGATTGTAAGTTGATTTTGTGAATCACTTGAGTAGATCTCACCAAAAGATAATACATTGAAATTTTACCACTTGAGTCTTCAAACATGCACAGGTATTAACATTTTTTGACATTGGACAATTGCCCAATTGCTGCTCCTCTGGCTACGCCACTGATTGTCATATATTTCACTATTACTCTCTTTCATTTTTGTCATCTACTTTACTATTGTTTTCTTTCAACTTTTGTCATATATTTAATATTTCACTTTTACTCCCTTAATTGTTGTCACATATGACCTTAACTGTTTGTCTCATGATTATTGTCATATATTTCCAAAACTGTTTTCTCTTGATTTCTTACTGTGAAAAAAATTTTTCCTTACGACGATGCATCAATTTATATATTTCCAAAAAATGTATATTTTCAATTTCTTGAAAACAAACCTATTTCTACAATGATATTTTTCGAATTCAACAACCATTATTCAAACAAATAAACCATCAATTAATACAATTAATTTTTAACTATTTGTTCAAGTGGAAATTTTAAAATAAAAAAAAAAATATAAAATTCAATTATTATTTATATACTAACCTTTCTTGTATTACTTATCATAAAAGAAAAATATATATACAAATATAGTTGTTCTCAAATTAATAAATAATGTTGACTTGCTAAATTTAAAGAATGAGTCAAAAATCTGAAAATACGATTTGATTGAAAAGTTGGGATTCATGAGAGAAACATTCGCGAAAAATTTTGAAATTCCCAGTGAAAATTCTACAAAGTAGCGAATTTTTCGGAGATTGTTATAGAACCAATAATCGATATTGCCTTTATAGGTTTGAATGAAACTGTCAATTACGTGTGAAAGGCCGTCGATATAATTCAAAAAAGTATTCCCTTTCGATATGACAAAGTTCTTTAATTTTTCAGTTTTACACTGGAGACATTTTCAATCGTCCAGGATACCCATAAATTGAGTACAGAATTGGGATTCTAATAATAATCCAATGATAGAACATTCTCGTGGACTTCCACATTATGCCTATGCTAAGCAACTTTGTGGTGACGATTTATATCCTAAAATCTAAGAATCAAAACAAGCAACACTAGATTTTGCTAAATGAAATATTGACCAGAAATTCACTATTCGTAAGTGAATAATCGAACTTCGTGATAAGATTTCTTTGTAAACAGTTTGAACACATGATCAATCAAAAGCTGTACTACAGTCGTGTCAAGAAAACATCATGATAGTGTATGAGTCAGAAGTGTGCATCATTTTAAAGTATTTCTTTGGCACTGCTAGTCTCTGATTCCACCAGCAGAGGAAATTCAATTTCTTCAATAACCTCTGTTTCTCTCTTAGTTGTCGGCACGTTTTGGCCAGTATCAAGTGATGAGAATGTGTAATGGCAGATAACGAGTGAGATCATGGCGAGAATCAGCATGATGATGAGTATAATCAACTCTACATCAAGTGAGAGAAAGTTTTGTAGGAGAAAACCAATGGCTGTTGCGCCAGTTTGCAATAATCTGTAATTAGCAAAAGCATCCGAGGGCCGTGTCCGTTCATACAATATGCCTAGTATAGCATACAATTCAGTCATCAAAATGGCATCGCCCATACCGATTCCAATGATCAGTAGAATAAATATATGTATAGAGTCTTGATCTATGGGTGGCTTCCAGACAGTTAGGAGAAGTCCATAGGAGACAGCCGGTAGGAAAAAACTCCATGCAAAGATTACGAGACGTCGGTGAATGTAATCACTCAACTTGCCAAAAGCCATGGTACCCAATGCATTGACAGCACTTGCTACAGCGAAGACAAAATATTTACGACTGTTGTCAACGATCAATGGTGGTAGTCTAGCAACGACGAATGATTGTTGAAGACCATTGTAGCACATCGGTAGTACAAGAAGTAGGAAACGAATGTCCATCAGTAGTGTTAGACTGGCAAATATTGAGCATTGTTTTCGTTCTAGAAATCGAAGCAAAGTTACTGTTGCTTTTCTCAAAACCTCGTTTCTAACGGAAATGCTGTTAGCAAAGCCTGCTCATGTAATGTTCCTTTTAGAGGGATTGAACGTAGCTTCCTAATTGCGGCCAAAAATTAAGCTAGTTAGTGGAAAATGACCGCTTGTTAGAATGAATAAATTTGTGTTGTCTCATTTTTGTTGTATTTCCAAAATGCGGCCACTTTTTAATTAATTAGTTGTTGTGAAATTGAATTATGATTTGTGTATAATTGATAAATACAAAAGGATGAGAATGAAAATAACATTTTATTTAATACAATGGATACTAAATTTACTTGGTAAACAACGCAAAAAGGTGAAAGGATAATTTTATGTAATATTTTTTTTATATCGATTAAAATGTGAAAACCAGAATGGTTCATTCATATACATTTGCACATGTAAATCATGCGCTCATGTGGTCACTTTAAGTAATGATGCAATTTAAAAATGCAAGGAGTATTGGTTTTGTCTTTCTCTAACATCCATACCTTCAAGATCAAGATTTTAATTCGTATCAAAAAGTTACGAAGTATTTCTCATCGATATATAGATGTTTTAAAAGATGTTAAAGATAGTAGTGACGAAAAGTAAATTCTTTGCTTTTTTTTATTCATGTTGTAGTGTTATGAATAAATAACTATATACATATTTATCATATTATGTTTGTTTATTGTTTCTTAATTGAAAAAGTGGTCGTATTTTGAAAACACAATATAAATGAGGCAGTGAATTTTTATTCGTTCCAAAAAATGGTCATTTTCCACTAATTGGCTTAATTTTTGACCGCAATTAATACGTAGCCAAATTGAGAGAGAATCAATTTAAAAGTAGATTCAAGTCTTTAACGTAGATATAGACGAGTTTTCTGAGTCATTATATAGGTAAGCATTTATAGGCATCTGATTTACATATAGTTGAAAACAGAACGTTAACTTCTATACCTGGTTTTCGTGGCATGCGAACAGGTCGTAATAGGCATAGACTAATCGTTCCACAAGCACATATAGCAGTCATGGCCGAGAAAATGATCCATTGACGTAATTGAAGATAGAATAGCAGAGTTGCGATTAAATTACCGAAAGTTAGGCTAACTTGCATGAAGCAAAAGAAGATCCCATTCATAAAACCTCGTGTTGACAATGGTTCCAGATGATTACGAGTTTCGTATTCACTAGTGACTATTGTTACATAGACACCTTGAGCTGTCCATAAAACGGATGCAGCCAGACCCATGATAAAACTGATCATATACAACATCCAAACATTGTATACAATGTTACAAGCAGTGAAACCTACGTAGCCGACACTAGCCAGAATAAGTGACAATCGAAGACCGAGGAGTTTTACGAAATAGGATGATAGAATCAAGTTGGTTAGACAGCAAGTTGTATAGAGGAGACACAGTGCAATAGTGCCGGCTTCGGGATGGTCAGACGATGTTTGAAATATTTGTGCCACACCAAAGGACATGAAGATGAGTAGAAAGGAGAAACTCAAATGGATAATGATGAATATGTTCGATCGATCCATGCTCATAGAGGTGGACGTTGTTTTCCGATAAAGTTGGTTTTCAGGAAATGTTCATTAACGACAGACGATAAGCTTTGCCTATTCTTTACATATGGTAACACGAGTCAAACTGACGAAATTGTGTAGTGAAGCCGTTCTGCTTATGAAATCTTTAAGTGGGTTGACTGCACCACGTGCATTGTGCTTATTATAGTAGTAGACGTATTGCGTTCCGGTTGGTTGATTGTATTAACGATTACTGCTTCTTTTTTCTTTTCCACTCAACGTATGAGCCACATTTCGAGTGAGTCATCCATATTCCTCATCAGAGCATTTTGTTGACGCGAGAAATAGTTTTCCGAGTTCGTAAAATTAGGATGAGTGCACATGTGAAGACCACTTTTCGAAATTCACTTCTGTTCGCGAGTTATAAAGATATGAACAAGGATAGTTACGTAGAATGTTAACGGCACTTCTTCCAATCACGCACACTACCCGTCAATATGGCAAGAAAAGAAAAAAAAAACTATTGGTTCGTTCGTTTCAGTCAATGATCGAGTTGAAATAAAGGTGACGCGGCTTGTTGAGGTGATCGTCACAGACAGGACGATCAAACATTACTTATTTCAAAAAGGGACAATCTCATTATTCAGGGAATAGACTTAAAGTCAAAGATTCGGGGATGGAGTCTCGCAGTGTTATTTACTTGCTCTCTACAATGGCCTGTACACTTCTACGTGCTTCTGATCAACTTTCTCCAGTGGCATGAAATGACGGCTGATACAGAAAAATGTATCGATCTGTGTCAGCGAATCGGCTTGTTAGAAATCTGTCCTCTATTTTCGCTTTTTTTCTTCTTTTAAGTTATTAATTCGTTTTGTAATATCAGCTGCTAACAATGTTTCATTAAGATAACGAATATCGGTTTTTACGTCATATGTTATATGTTGATGATCATTCCATAAACAACCATATTTTGAACATATACCTACAAGATAAGATAGAATTTGTTTAGTTAACTACTTTATTCACTTTTTAAATATTAAATCTCCAATCAATTCAAATAATTTATCTCTAATCTACTGCATGTCAGAGATGTCCATCACGGCTGAAAACCTGCCGCTGCCGTGTCGCGATGTTTGATTAAAAAAAAGTCGCTGTAAAGAATTATCTTTGAAATGATAATTCAAATATCAAAGGTAAAATCTTTGAGATTGAATGACATCGACTATTATTGTAACATCATTGAAAACAATTATTGAATTAGTCAATAGAAGAAAAGAAAATATTTAAAAAGAGTTGATTTTAAATAATAAAATGAGGACGAACAATGCTTTCTGTTTAATACATGCAATGAATTGATTTGTTGAAATGAAAATATTTTTACCTGTTTTATAGTGCATAACTTTGCAATCTCCCATTCTCTCACCATTATAGCTTTCTTATATAACATCTATCAAATAGTATACTTCATGGTATTTTGATAGTGGTTCAATTTTAGTCTCATTATTAACAATAACAGTTCGACAACATTTTTTATTTGTACAAATTGTTGTTGAATATTTTAAATGCTCAGATTTTGCATCCTTTTGTGGTAGACCTTTACTAGCTAATTCAGGATTTTTACTAATATCTTTTGAATTTTTTTTAGCTAGTTGAAGATTTTGTTCGATAAGTCTAGTTATTTCAATGATTGGACATGTTAATTTCCTAACTAATTGTTTAGCTTCATTAAGTGAAAGTGTATTACAGACAGCAGGAAGTAGACGTGGTACAACAAAAGCCATAAGATTTGAATATTGTTGAATAGTATGATTCCAACTCTTTTGATAACTTAATTTTTGTTCTTCATTTAATTGTATTTCATGTCGACGTAAAGTTAAATACCGAAATGGTTCATTATCTAACAGAAAAGTATTAGTTTTTGTAAAAGGAACTTCAATTTTTCTTTCCTTTTTATGCTGATCTAGAAGTGCACGAAGGATTTTAGATGTTGAATCCAGGTTTAAAAAAGGTAGAATAAACGTTTGTAAAAACAAAAATAATATTTTCTGATGCACTTATATATAAATGTCGAAGAAGTTCATTGACACAAAATCTAAAAAGTATTATTAAACATTCTTCACATTTGGTTTAAGTAAAATACAAACTCTATTTGAATGTTCATATTGGAAACTATAAGTTAGTATTTCATAAAAATTTTTTGTTCACTGTTCAAGACTTCTAGTATCTTCAATTCCTGATGTATCAATTATTCGGAACTTCTTTTCTCCAATAAGAAAAAGACCATTTCATTAAAATATTCGTGTTCATTACTTTCCCCGATGTAAATGATTTTCTCTTCAAAATTAAAAGAGAATGATGATTGGATGATAAGTTGCATTTGATCTCTAGCTGCATCTTCTAATGTATCATTACATAAATAATTCGCTAAACCATTAATGAATGTTGTTTTTCCAATACCAGTTTGTCCCAATAATAAAATATTGATATCAGTTAACGGATCTTTGTTTCTACAGGCTTGTATGGTAGATATTTTATATCTTCGTGCCATATTATTCATTTTCTATTTAATAAAAAAAAAGCATTCGTTTAACTGTTTGTTTATTTAATTTTGAAAGACTTGTTTCAAATAAAGAAAAATGATTGAAGAAGATTTATCGATCAAAGAAATATTCTTTTAGAAAAAGAAAATCTTCTCTTAAAATCAAATTCTAATTACTCTGCAAGAAAATAGATAAACAAAAAAAAGCATTGACGAAACTTTGCTTCAGTTTTCATCATGAAAAATCTTCGACATCGATTTAAATTTGGAATCGTTATTATTATTGAGAAAAAAAATGTGTCGAATCTATTTGGTTATTTTTATCTTATCATTTAATGTGCAAAGTTCTTAAATGAAAACATCTCGTTTATAATCCTAGAATAGCAGAAATACCTAGAAAAACTAAATCTTTTTTCGATCAGTATCTAAAATTAATTTTTTTATAATTTAAACAAAAGAAATCTGTTAAACAAGCAGAGTAAAGTCTTAGTTACATTCTTCTTCTACTTGCCGTCACTTCGCGTTCTTCAGTTTGAAAAGATACGCAAAGAAATTGAAATTTATTTCCTTTGCATAATAGAAGCAACCTGAAAGTATACAAGTCTGGCTGATGCAGAGGAAAATAAAAAAGAATTGTTGTGACAATTGTTTTTATCAAGAATGAGTGTCATAGAAAGGAAGAAAAAATAACAGACATTTCAAAGTGAGAATATATTGAGGTATGATGGGCTTTGTTCTAATACCTTGTCTTATGGTCGTTAATAAAGAAATCGAATAAATTCAATAAATATGCCTGTCACTAAGAGATTTATGGGTGGATGTGGGTGTCTGGAATCGATGTATATTATCATTACATGTTCGGTTTAAATTTCTAAAAATTATCTTGATACGCTACTTAGTTGTTTTAATTCTCATTTGTAATGAAAATATATCGAAATTGGGATAAATTCAAACACTTGCTCAAGATTATCTCGTCGAACTTATGAAATTCGATCAGATTCAACATGAGAGCAAAGTATGTAAAAGACTTCTGAAGAGATAAAGAATATACTGTTTGTTGGTGTCACTCATCCATCTTCCAAAAGTGTAAAGTACCAGAGAACCTTTCTTATTTTCATGTAACAAATCACTGCATTGCTCTATCTATATGTTGTCTGAAAAGCAATGATCAATATTCTCGTATCTTGAGACTTTTGAAGAAATCCGAAATCAAATGAACTATATATGCGTGTTTGACTGCCCCAAAAGAAAAGGAAATAGGACGTATGGGTGTAGGTGAGTGCTCCTCTCTTTTTATCCACACCCACCCATGCTGAATCGTCCGTCACCTACTTCTTTTATTGTTTTCCTTTTTTACTGACTAGTCAGGTCAAAGTTAACAGACAAGATGGACTAGACATAGCGGTATTGTAAACAACCAACAATGACACGATACATGATCATTTCATATTCGTCAGGTCGCCCATGTCTATTTATGTTTTGCTTTATAAACTGATTCGCCAGTTATCATCATGCTTTGTTATTAAAACATGTACTATAATATAGTCCATCTATACGTTGGATAGTTAACAGATAAAGCGAAACAAGCCAAGTGTTATATTGAAAAATAAAGAAAAATTACTAAACTTTGATTTTACTCTTCGTTTATCTTATATGATCTTCTGCTTGTAACTGTAAGTGAAGAAAAAAACGCAATGTATTTAGAATTCTTACCGAACGAAATTCTACTTTATTTATTCGATTACTTTAATGGTACAGATCTTTTTCATGCATTTTATGGTCTCAATATTCGTTTCAATTTACTTCTTTACAAACAATTTCGATTCTATCGTTTCGATTTTGACTCTACGTCAAAACGTACTTTTGATCTGATATGTCAACAACATTTGCCATTGATTGCTAATCGAATTATTGCTCTTCGAGTATATAATTACGAGACCATTGGACAATGTGATTTATTTGTTTCTTATATACCATCATTTCATCAATTGACTTGCTTACGATCATTAACAATAGTTAAACTTCGTTCATACAAAGTATTCATAGAACTCCTAAACAAATGTCATCAACTCGATAGTCTTACTTGTTTAAACGTAAACCATTGCCATTTTTCAAGAGAGGAAGCTGATTTTTCATTGATTATTGACAAGATTTGGAGTTTACCAAAACTCACTGATTGTCATTTTTACAATATTATTACAAGACCATACTATTTTAGGGTACCAACAATTATCTCGACATCAATTGAACGTGTAACAATATTTCACAGTGAACTTTCATCCGATAAAATAGATCGATTGTTTAATTATACACCTCGTTTAAAACATCTTTCGATAATAGTTATGAGTTTGCCCAAAAATAATTATAGAACATCTTTACATTTAAAACTAATTCAATTATATATGTATTTTATTTATACTATAAATGTTTCGACAATGCAAAATTTCTTGAAAAGTACGCCTAATTTACATCAGTTGAAGATCAACCTAAGACATAATCTAATCGATGGTCATCAATGGGAACATATCATTCGTAATTACTTACCGAAATTGAAAATATTTCGATTAAAAATGAGATGGTTTTCTTGTGACCAGCAAATTAAACAAAATGAAGCTGAGAAGTTATTTAATTCATTTCGAAGTTCATTTTGGATTTATGAAAAACAATGGTTTGTCCGATGTTTTATAGGAGAACATGTCATTTCTCTTAACACTCTCTCTAACAAGCCTGATGAGTATGAAACAATTTTGGGCCTATGTAAATATACATGTTCAGATGATGATTATCAAAAGTATTATAATTGCATAACTACGATCAATAATATCACATTTTTCAATCAACCAATACCACCTAACATTCGCCTATCGAATATTACATACCTTTGTAAAGAATTTCCCTTCAATGCTCAATTTTGGTCAATTGTTCCAAATTTAAACAGACTAAAGACACTTACTCTATCATCATATGATGATACTATGAAATCAGAAGTACAAGCTATATTAGATCGAGCACCTTATCTAACTACACTGTCTATTCAACAAAATGCATCATTACCTATACAAATGTCATTATTCAAATATACAAATCCATCCATTCGTAAACTTGATTTAGAAGATTATGTTCATTATTTTAATGAAAAAGAGTGTCTTCTATTAAGTCGTTCATCATTAGGTGTTCAATGTGAAGTACTTTATATTCGAGTTAATAATCGTGAAAATATCACTACTCTTGTCAAAAATATGGTCAATCTTCGAATATTACGTATTTATCGGAGTGATGAAAAGTATTCAGATTCAGCCCATATATATTTAAAGAGAAACAATGATGAGACATTTCGTGAGACAGACAATATAAACACTGATGAACTTATTCAATGGTTAAAAGATCAATTGTCGTCAACGTCTGTGGTCGTCAAAGATTTACATTATGTTCACAATATTTTAATATGGACTTAAAAACTAGATTAATTTAATAATCGTCATTTTTTTTTATTTTTCACTTGATTGAAGATTTATATACTGTACAATATCATTTATATAAGTTGTTGCACAACATTTATTGATACTAAAAATGTTTTGAAAAGCATAAGAATATTTCTCTTTTTTCTCATTTCATCAATGGTATTAAAATTTTGTCAAGCAGGTTGTAATCTCGTTCATAGGGGGGCGAATAGATGTGAATGTAAGTGTCTTACATAGTTTACCGTTCAATACATAGGGTAAAAATTTCATATTTTCATCATATTGCATATGTTCACTTCCTGGAGACAACAAAGGACAATGTACTGTAGTAGACATGGGATAAATAACTAAGTATCGAAAGAGAAAATGTCAATCTATTAAACATTTATTTAATATGAAGCATGAGACTATTCAATTGCTTGATTTACCTGATGAAATTCTACTTATTATTATGAAAAAACTTCGTTCCATTGATGTCCTTTATTCGTTATCGAAAGTAAACAAAAATACTTGATAAAATGACAAGAAGTCTCAATCACATAAAATCTTCAGACTTCTCAAATATATGTCATCGAATCGTAGATTTTCATCAGTTAACCATCCTATAATTAACCGATTTTGCCATCATATATTGCCTCAAATACATCAAAATTTGGAAGTACTTATTGTTAATCAATGGTGGATGAGACGTACTCTTCTTGCTGATCAATATTCTAATCTTTGCATGATCAGTGTTATAATTTATTCACCGTACACTGTTTATCAGTATTTAAGAGATATGTGACGCTCTTGAATTATCAACCTATGATGATATCAATTTTCCAATGTAACTCTATTGCACGATATGAATTTTTTAGAAGAATTGTCGAATATATTATTCACAGAGGGATGTGCATGTCTTTTTTCCATATGTAAAAAGTTAATCTTTTTTTTGATACGAATCGATTGAATAATAGTGAATGTACACAATTCATATTGTATAATCAACCTTCAAATACTTCTTTCTCTTCACAATTACGATCTTTATTTGTTAATGTATCAAATTTTGATGATTGTCTTTGTTTACTTGATGGTCGTCTCAATTAATTATCATCATTTACTGTAAATATTAATTCTATATTAACAGATCCTCGCTAAACACTGTCAATATGGGAAGTAAATTTACCTTAAAATTCATTTTAATGATGAATTTTTTTTTTTATAGAACCTTCTATCCAATTTAAGAGAATCTTCTCTGACTAGTTATTCACTTACAAATGCTTATAATTCTCAAATTGTAGTACTTCTTCTTCGTATGATAAACTTGCCCTTTCTTATATTTATACTACAATAGTCAAAAATGACTCGTATTACGGATGTTGCTAATTGTTTTCTTGATAAATATTTTCGATTTGTTAACGACATTGAAATTGTACAGTATATATTCATTTGAACATGATTTTTTTGAATCAACTACTCGAACATTTCTCATAGTCAAATATTTCACACTATATAATTTGTCACTACAAGAAAATAAATGTGGAATTAAAATAATTAATAACAAGCAAATATCGATCATTAAATATTCACATTTGACTAGACTCAATCTGATTGATATACACATTGATTAGACAATATGAACAATTGGTAAATGTGACGAACGATTTCATAAGTGATTTAATACGAATCAACTATGCACAAGTGAAGCGACTATTGACTAATGAAGTGGTTGTATAGGAAATAATTGCAATTAATATTTTGAAAATATCATCATTTGAAGAAAAATAATCATATATTCTCGATGTTTAAATTTGTTTATTAATAAATTAAAAAAACTAACATGACCAAATTCATACTATATCTTATTAACGAAAAAGTATAATAACAGGTGATCCATAATGAATGATCGGTTTTTGTATCCCTTCTTGATTAGACGTCTTCGGACGAGGTCCGCAGAGACTCGATTAAGTCTTAGAGTAAGAGAGATATAGGAGGTGGTCAAAGGTGAACAATTAATGGTTATAGGCTAAAGGTTAAGTTCAAAAATTAACAATAAAGTTCAGCAGCTGATATAATGCCTCAAGCTCACACTATACGACTGCCCATGCAACCATCCTTATGTACAGAGTTACACAACACAACATATGGAACTGTTATCCAAGTACATGACTGTTAAGAGACAGTCTTAAGAAAAGCAAAAATAGAGTTTGCAGGGATCTAGGGTGTGAGTGAGTGTTTCTCTCTTTTTATCCACACCCACACTCTGGTAGTTCGTTTTGAACTGTTCTATTCACAGTTGGATTACTTCATAGTCCTGTTCGATTGATATTGGACAACTCAGGAAATATCTATATTTCATCGAGCAGTGGCATGTACAGATGGATTCGTAGTTCCAGTTCTCTGAAATTGATAACAACAACCTGATACTATAGTAGTTCAAAAATACAACTGGACACAGTCGGTAATATCTATCTGAGGAGCGTTTCCATACTCCTGATCATGGTACCACTAACTTTTGTGTGTTGTGTGTGTGTGCATGTGTTTTTCGCTCCTTCAAGCATCAAATAAGAGTGTAGATGTCAAACTCTGAAATTTATTCTGATACTATAATTGTCTGGATGTTTTCTTCGATTGATATCTGCGACTTTTATGTCCTACTACAGTTTGTTACATTTATATTCTTCATAATTTTTACTGCACTTCATTTCAAGTGAAATGTTCAATGTGAACTTGTCACAATAAATCTTACTTTTGAATAAAATCTCATCGAAATGATTACCGATCAAAGCTTTTTTGAATAGAATAATGAAGATGACATGGATAGTTTCAGCTCTTGAAACTGGCAGTATTATTCTTTTAATCAATGTGTGGGTAAGGGTAAGGATGAATAGAAGACCTCCCTAGTGCAACATCTTGTAACCAAGATCTTGGCCAAGATACAAGGTACAGAAATGTTAACAGATCTTGAAAATTTAACTACAGATATTAATATCATTATCTTGTATCAAGATCTGTAATCAGATCTTAGGTACAGATCTATAAGATCTTAACTGAAATATCCGTGCTCAAAAATGATCACTAAAAGTCGTTTATGGATGGCTCTAAATACTACCGAGATAGTCAATCCGAAGTAAAATTTGATGCTGAAAATGAATCTGAAATCGGATTGCTGCTGCAAACACAAGGAGTCAAGTTAGAGACCAATGGTCAGTTCGAAAACTGTTCACAATCGTCGTCCTCACGAACACCCTTGAATAAAGATCATGTTTTCTTAAATGATTCGGGACAATCTAGCTTCAAGCAGTAGCAAAATCATCCGTAACAGGTACTATCAAGTCAAGATCTTGGTGCAAGATGATAACGTTATTATCTTGTACCTAAATTATCAAGATCTGTTAACATTTATGTTCCTTGTATCTTGGCCAAGATCTTGTCACAAGATATTAATATCTTGGTACAAGATCCAAGATCTTGCTTACAAGATGTTTCACTAGGGCTTTGTCCATATCGATCTTAACCATTATCTTATCCGTTTACTCAAACGATGCATAATGAAGCCAGAGAAATAAAAAAGTCGACGGCTTGATTCATATGAATGAACGAGAGATTCTCAATGGAGATCTGAATACCAATGTGGGTATAAAGTGTCGTATGTTTGTCTGATTGCTAGAGTGGATAGGAGAGTGGATATCGGTACTGCTATGTGTCTTCTCTTCAGGCACATACACGCATGCCCATACCTCCACTCATTCACAACCATACTCTGAGGACTAGTTCAATACAACTAGTTTGTCATTTTGTTTAACGACAAAAAATTATTCTGTGTTATATTCATTACAACAATAGTGGCATAGGTATTAATGACAGGAAGCGGTTAAGCATGATTTATCAATGATGTACTCGGTAAAGTTCTTTTGTAATGACATACTGTCACTCCGGTTACGACATTTTAATGTTACGAGAAAGATGCAATGATTATTCAAGATTTTACAATACTTTTGGGATGTGTAGCTTAATGCTAATGCCAACACATCTTTTTAGTAAGGAGTACTGTTAAAGAAGCATGTGAGAAGAGGGATATCCAAGGTGAGCTATCTCTGAGGTATTGTGGAACTCGAAAATATCGTTTTGTTGGAAAATGCAGGCAATTCACTGGGGAAAAATTAACTACAAGCTAAAGTAAAGAAAGAAAAAGTCATTTTAAGTTTATATTCGAAATACGATAACAATACAGAGTGTGGGTGTCCGAGTGTAATTGTCAAGAAGACGACACCTCACAGATACCGTCATTGAAGATGCTTGGATTTTTTTTTTCGATGCATCAATGGTATCTTTGAGACGAGACATACAATGTGTAAGATTCTTAGTTGAAACACCAACACAATTTACACTGCTCAATGATTTGTGTCTTTTTTATTTCTCAATTGATTATGCAGGATGTAGTTGGATGCTGTCTTATGGACAGTTACATTCGAATACCAACATACACTCACATCCGTACCTTTCGATAATCTGAAAACTGTGTTCTCTTCAATTTTTTCTATGAACATTTTTCATTGGGTGATAGACGTTTTTTGCTTTTTATTTAACCTAATTACCGTAACTTTCGTTACCAAAACATTGCTTTAATATGTCCAAAACAATATCTGAAGAGGTAGCTTAACATGGTCTATCTAACCAGACCAAAAAACTGTTAAAAAAGATTTAGCTTAAATGTGGAATTTCGAGCACTGCCAAAAAAAAGATGTTCCTACTATACATAAAATGCTAATTTAGTGCATTTTTTTATTCGATCAAAGTTTTTTTAATAGAGTATCAAACAAGATTTTGATTACTCATTACTGTTAATCAATTAAATGCAAAAATAACATTATGCTTTGTTTTTTTTTGTAAATATCGAAAGTCAATAGTGGAAGCGATCTAACAATAGTCTTGTTTTTAAATCAGAATTGAAAGTAATTCAAAAGAAAAGCAAAAAAAATAATGCTCTATAAATTCGTTTTTATTTGATTACTGCTTTTCAAATATGTAATTTGTGATTTTTGATTGACTTATCAATATGCAACTATTAAATTCTTAAAGTAAATATTAAGATAAATCATCGTTGAAAAATTTACAAAAGTATTTGCTTTTATAAAAAAACATTTTATTATTGAATTCGATCATTTAAAGTGAAGTTAAGTCAAAACTTGAAGATTTTCAAATAGTCTTTCGTCATTAAAATTGTTCATTCCATCATTTCAAAACATATAGAAAAGCATGCATATTTTCAAAATTGTTATTCTATATCTTGCAGCAATACATCATAGTTATGGAGATGAAAGTGGTAGACACGGTAAGGATTAAATAGTGAGAGATTTTTTCTTAAGAAAATTTTAAAATAATATAGGAGCCGATGCAGATTCAACAGACGTTGGTATTGGATGTTTTTCTGGTGATTCATCGGTTATGTTAACTAATGGTGAACAAAAACAAATCGATTATCTTCAAACAGGTGATGAAATTCTTGCTGTTGATCATTTAAAAATAATTCCTACTGAAATGATTTTTATGTTGGATAAACAAAGATCAAAACAAGGTTTTTATTTTATTTTAGTATTTCTTTTTTCTTTAATCGGTTTATTTTAGCTAAATTTTATACGTTCATAACTGATTCCGGTCATAAAATAAGTTTAACCGGTTTTCATTTAATTCCAATTATTTCTTCAAATAACAAAATGAATTATATCGCAGCTCGTCAAGTTCAATTGGGTGATCAATTGTATGTTCTTATGAATGGTCACATGAAATCTTCATCAGTTAGAAATATAACCATTGAAATAAAAAAAGGATATTTTGCTCCGTTAACATTGACAGGTTAGTGTAGATTTTATCATATGTATTTGGTTAAAAATATTTTTATCATTAAATAAAGGAACTATATTGATAAACGATGTTTTGGCAAGTTGTTATGCCTCAGCAAAAAGCCATCAATGGGCACAAACTTTTATGGCTCCATTTCGTTGGTATTATAAATTAGCTCGTTTTATTTCTGTCAATGAACCATTTGATAATAATCGAACAGATGGAATACATTGGGTTGTTCAAATGATTTATCAACTGATCACCTATATTCAACCTTCGACATTACAAATTTCATAAACTAATATTTATTTATTTTTTACTTATCTTTAACAGAGATATGGGTGTGGGTATGTGCATAGACGATAATTTCAAATGCACCCAAACGCACATCCTCTCTCAGATAAAAATTGCATCTATGTTTATTCAAGCGATATGAACATTATTTTATTTTTTATATTTTCACAGTCTATGAAACTTCGTTTTTATACAATTTGCCCATGTAAACAATGTGTACATGTGCATCTTGTTTTAGATTTTCCTTGGACACACTAGTCACGATCACGAAATATTTTTTCAATTGCGAACTCCGTATTGAGTTTTCTCATCAGTCGCAATGACGATCACAAAATGAACGCTTGGTTAATCATGATTAGTGTCCTGCAACCGGGTTGGGTGCCAGGTATGAAAAAAATTGTCAGGTCGATTGCAGATTTAGGATTATACTTGACACCTGACCCGGCAGCTGATCAAATCTTGACGTTTCAAAATATTTTTACTTTTTTGAACTCCTATTTATATAAAAGAAAATACGATTAAAAACCGATTCGATCATGATCGAACAAGTAATCATACTTGAGAATGGGTGACAGAAGTGGACAGCAATATTATATGAAGAGCAACATGTGGAAAAGAGATTTTGATTGAAACATCGGGACTCCTGTCGAAATCAGCAAGCTATCTAAGGCTTTCTCACTTAGAAAATTTCATTTTTATCAAAAATATCAATTTTCCAGCTTTATACATAATTAGATGTGGGTGACAACTTTTTCTATACCCACACCCACGCCCACATCTTGATATAAAGGGTCAAAAAGTATGCTTCCGTATTTTAAGGATTCCTCCTTCAAATCTAAAGATACAGATTTCGAGTGCGTGTTAAAATGTAGGTAATACCTGCCGCTACAACTTAAAAGGGACCGATTTTTCAAAATTTTGTTTCTTTACATCTGGTGCAAACTTCGCTTAAAAAATCTGAAAAATTAGGGGTACTCTTACCGAAAAAAAATGCCGTTTTTTTTCGAGAAGTAAGTCAAAAATGAAAACATCCGACTGTGTTAAGTTGTAGAGCGCAATTTTCTCTTCAATTTAAGACCTTTTTCGAGATTTCTAGCAAGTAAAATGGCTGATTAATCTTTGAAATACAAACAGTAAAAAACGAAAAAGTCTCTTTCGTATCTTCAGTAAAACCTCTGTGATACCATGGGAAAGCATCAAACATCTAATAAATCATAGTGTTTTCAAAAGTAGACAATGAGGGCTATCTAACCATGATAAAAACTGAAAATCGAATTTTTTGATGAAAATCGCGACTTTTGAGTGGAAGCCTTAAACGTTTTTCTCGAAAAGGATTCTTCTGTTTTTTTTACCGTTCATTTTTCAAAGATTTCTCCGTCATTTTATGTGCTAGAAAGCTCGAGAAGCGCCTTTTGCTAATATGTTTTTCGCTGAATGAACATGATATCATACCCAGCACTATGGAGTATAACCATTATTCATAGAAATAAGGCACTGTATTATGATAAATGAAGCGAAATTCGGTTGGGTCTGAACAATGATCAGACAAAAGCGCAGTCCAAAAATTCATTGGATCTGAATTTCTGTAAGCCAACAACATCACATCGATAAAAAGGAAGGCTGTTACCTCGTCGCTGAAATCAACTTCGTCGAAACGGAAAGCATCGATATGAATTTCGTCGAAATGAAGATCACCGAATGCCTTTCGATTATCTATGCTCGTGAACTTCGCTTCGCTGATATAATTCTCGGCGATCATTTCTTCCATCCATTCTTTCGAAACATTTATTATATATACATACATGCATATATATAGCACCTATTCGACTGTGATGTCTACATCATGAACGACAGCTTGCTTTCTAATTCAAGTTCGGCATTCACTTGACTTAGGAAGTTATTGAATCACTCACTCAAGTTATTTATTAACTGGGCACTTCATTATGATCACTAAGTAGAATAAGTATCGTTCCCCATAATAATAGGACGTTTATAATGCTGCAAATATCATTTGAGAATATCACCGAAATGCAATTCGCTGAATTTCTATGACCTTCACAATGGCGATGAACATAATAGCCGTCCTATTCCATTCATCTCATAGACAAACTGATTTTTTAAAGCTATTTTTTGCTAAGAAAAGTACAGGCTTTTTGAATTAGATGTTGTACTCGTCTATTCGAGCAAAACAAATGAGAAATATAAATTCTGTAAGAAACCATCCAGAAAGAACGTTCAGGCAAAAAGCAGATTTTTGATCCCTTCCTGTCCAAATTTGTCCAGTTCTGTAGATCCTCCTCCCACAGAAGTCCAGTACAAAAAAAGGTTTCTAGAGAAAGCCTGATTGTTGAAATATATACTGTCATTGATGAACTATAAAAAAGCATTGGCATTTCAATCGATACAGTCATCAGTTGATGAATGGAAGGATGATTTGAGCAGTAAAGATTTGTTTTATGCAGAGGAACATCTTCTATAGCAAATCGTTTCTCATTAGTGGAACTCGCGCTAAGTTCATCAAGTGATCACTGACTTCGTTGAAATACCATAGTTTTATGGTGGCTAACCAAAAGCAAACTGGATCTCACGTGTATCCAGAATCCTGTTTAAGCTTTATCTTAAACTATTTCCTCGATCCAACATCGAACTATATAGTTTAACCTGAGATCTGCCATTAGCCCAGACCAATCGAAATTGACCTTTGGAAAAGAATTCTTCTTTTTTATTTAATAAAACTGTATCGAAAACAGAAATGAATAAGTACACATTTGATAAAATATGATCTATTGAAAAGTTTTTGTTTTTTTAAACACATTAGAATTTTTATCAACAGGAAATATTGAAAATCTAAAAATGAGAATATTTAAATACTAATGGTACTCGAACACATAACAATGCTCATATATAACTAGCTACCGATGCAGTACAATCTTCAATTCTTTCAATACCGCGTTTATATTCAAGTGATTTACTTAAAAAATAGTGTCGAAAATAAACTAAGCTTCGAAATTTCGGGAAAAATTTGGAGAGTGTTGGCGTGAGTGAAACTTACATCTTTACACACCCTTACACTCACACTCAAACCCCGTACAACTAGTATGTTTAAATCTTAAAGTACGAAATAATTTATTTTAGGATATCAACCAAACAGATAGATATATGACTAAAAATTGTCATATATATCCCTCTAGAGCATGAAATATTTCTATCACACTTCTTATCGTAGTGACTTCAAAATTCTGGATATAGTGACACGTGACAAAATGCTCTAAGTAATCAGAAATCTAGCTGCAGAGAAAAAAATGAAATAAATGATAATAAAGTATGGCTTTATTCGACGAAACTAATTACAAATAGATATATAATTGAAAATCATAAAAATACAACAATTAGAATAGGAATTCAATCAATACAATCAGTCCCAGAAACTGTCTAAACGATTCTCAAAATTCGTCGTTAGTAATATTGAAAAAATTTTGTTTTGGTCTAGACGATGTTTTTCTTTGACCATAAGCCTTTTGTGATTTTCTTTCTGACGGAACTTTTTCAATGTTAATAGAATAAATCGGTACTGATGGTGCAGTTGTTGAAGTAGTTCCTTTACTAAGACCATTTAGTTGTATTTGATACATCATTTCACTCACTTGAGCTTCGAATTCTCGAGCTTGATTTTTATCGAATTGTATTATGATTGAGCCAAAAGTACCTTTCAATTCAACATATTTTTTCTTTAGATATACATAGACAATCACTATACCAATTAAAGTAATGATTAGAGTGCAGATGGCTATAATACCTAACCACTTGACAAATTCAAATCCCACTATTATCACAATAAGATGGATGAGCACCAACGGAATCATTGATAAAAGAACGCGTCGATCGTTCCGTGTTTCATTTATTCGGCATATTGAACTGAGTGAAATGGACGAATATGCTGATTGATGACAACAGCAACAAAATCTTTGTCTCCAACGAACGAGCACACGTATATTAGTGACAATGATTATAGTTTCCATTCTACTACACCATACCGAACTCCTATATTTTCCAACTATTTGCTCCCCAAGAGATAATGCGGGGAAAATGGTGTCTTCATCCATGAATAACTTAGCTCGTGCAAAAAAGCAAGACCTTGAGAGAAATCGAGAAATACGAAAATTCTAAAGTTGTTTATATGGGCTTGAATGCATTACACACCACTTATATACCATTTAACTTATCTTATTTGCTCTTAGTTTCGTTTGCAATTTTATCTTCATAATAAAACTATTTGAGCAAATATCATATGCTTAGTTGTAAATGACAACAATCGAACGTATCGTTTCATGTTATTAAGATATTCAGTTTCTTGACTGAAGATTGTACTGATCTTAAATGAACGGCTATAGAAGATTATAATGTTCTAGCTATATATTTGTTTGAGTTGATTTCATAATTCAATTACTTTGTAAAGACAACTCCATTTTTATGTCAACACAGACATACATATGTTTATCATCGCACAGATTCTACACAGAAAAGGGAGCTACGAACTACGTAGATAAGAGCTATTTTTATTATGGACATAAGTAGTGTGAAATTTTGAATAGAATAAGAACAACACAGCAATAATGCAGGTTGAAAAATTCTTCAAATACCTGTCATGAAGATGCATGCTTTCGATGGATTAGAAATCACCTTAACACATTCGGCACGATTCTATTTTATTAGAAAGTAGCTCTATAGATTCGTTTTCGTGTACATTCGTCTTTCGACAAATGCACTCCTTGACCTTTTCATTGTGTGCTGGCCTGTCGCTTTCTCTTTTCTGTTTATAACATCACATGAAGCGAAGTGACCATTCTACAGTTTCGCAAAAGTTTTGTGAGATCTTTACTGCATGGTATGCCTTTCGAGAAGCTGAAAACTGATCCGAGACAAAAATCAGCATCCATTCGAAGCACAAACTCATTGATCGCAAACTCGACAGAAAAGAAGGATCTACGCGCAATGTCGGCTGA